AACAAATGAAGCAGTGGTCACAGAGGGGAAAAAAAAAAACAAACCCAAACCAACATACAGTCACATAACTGTAGAGTGTACCACAATACAGGGCAGATACAAAAGCAAAAAGTTGCAAGGGGAACATCAGTTGTGGTACTTCCCAACTGCCAAGTGCTTATATTTACAAAGTAAGTATTTTGAAATGTAGCTTTTTGTAGGATCAACCTGTAACTAAGGTTTGATTAGCATATTCCTGACGGGCTCTGCACTGATGAAATTTGAGAAAAGTGATTTTGGGGAGGCAACTTAATAAGTAGGACCATGCACTGCTTTGCTTTAGGTAGCCTTGATCTGGCTTTAGACTTCCTAGTCTACCTCAGTGAGGTGGAATTCTTACACATATTACCAATGTTGTCACCTGTACCTGCACAACTGACTGCGGGCACAATGCCATTCATGCATACACATATTATAAATGAATATTACATATGCTCTTAAGCATATTCATAGGATGTATACAGAGACTTAAACTTCCAAAGCAAGTTTGAAGTTTCCATGTTAAAACTTTACAGGGAAAGGGGTTGCTCTAAATCCGTCTGCCTCCCCTCCCACTCTCCCCTATATGAGTTATTTCAGCAGGCTAGAGCTTTAGAGAGATTGTGGAAAAGCAGAACACAAGCTAGCACGCAATTCCACTTTGATCACATTTCTCCTGGTAGCAGCTCTGCCGGGATTGTTGGCAATCCAACTGTCAGCACGCAGTAAAGGAGTACCAGTGCGCGCCTGTGCAACACGCCGGGCTCACACGGCACAGGCCTAGATCTTGCCCTCCGCTACACACGAAGTTCAGGGGGGAAAGGGAATAAGGACTCTCTTCTTTCCATCTGCCCTGAATGCAGCAGCGAGGCAGGATTCCAACCTAGCACTCAGGAGAGTGCCAAAAAAGGGACTGGCTACTGTGCTGGCTGCCACCCCAGGGCCCCAGGGGTGTGAGGCCCGCCAGCTGTGGGGTGGAGCCGTGCCCCCAGCCAGCTACAGCCTCTGCTTCTGTCTCGCTGCTGGCTCAGCTCGTGGAACGACCGCTTTAAGAAAAGCAATATTGTGCAGTTCATCGTGCAGTGCAGGTGTTCACCTTCAACTATCCCTGCCCTGTGCTGGCAGGGCACCTCCGGCAGCACACACGGCCTGTGCTCGCCCGCCTTCCCACGCCACAAGGCGCGGCACCTACGGAATCCTCGGGCTGGCTTTACTCTGGAACAGGAAACGCTGAGGAAACGAAAGCTCTCACCTAAATACAAGGAGATCAGATTTTTAACTGACTTCCCTCCCGTGCAGAGGTGTGATAGAATTCCACAGACTCTCTACCGAGGCCAACCTCAGCAACTCTGACTTCGCTGATGCAAAAAGGAACTGGGGAAGAACCAAAGGTCTTGGATTAAAAAAAAAAACAACAAAGGACAGGACAGCTACCACAAGCCTAAATTTCAATCGCCCAAACAAGAGCTGCTTTACATTGAGGTCACAGTCCCTGTTCAGTCAGGATGAACACAGTTCAGGGTATGGTCTGTGACTCTTGTGAATTTAGTGGGAACAGACCCAGAAGTCACCAGTGTCAGGTATCCACTGTGGATGCAGGGATGGAGATGTCCATCCAAGGGCAGAGCTCCCAGTGCTCCAAACTGGCAACCCTGTGCACAGGCTGCCAATGCACTGCAGCTGATCAACCCACCCTGGTGACACAGAAGTGTGGAAAGAAGGGAAGGAACAAATTCCAGCTGAAGGAAATAAACTGCTGTAGGCATGAATTTCTTCAGCTGTTGCCCAAGCCACTGTTGGAACCATGAGCGTTTGACCTTGGTAGATTTGGAGAGGGTAGGACCCTGGCACACTCGATTTCACCAGGATCAGTGCTGAACTGCTGGATGAATAATAGATGGAGACTTAACTGACAAAAAGCATTTTTTCCTCCTAGGAGAGGAAAGAAAAAAAGTTTCATTCCTGAAAAATAAATTCCCCAGGTTTAAATAACATTAGGGGCATCGTATTTTTTGTCTGGACATAACATATTTGAGGAGGTTCTAATAAACAAAACATTTCCTCTGACTTTTACTCAATGGCACTAGAAAGCTCTGCCTTTTAGAAGTTTGATTTGCTATACTGCAATAAAACTTCAGGCAGGATAATCTACTATTCAGGCCTTTAAAAATAGTTCATAAAAATGTATGAAAGGACTACAAATTGAGTTACAGGCTACCAAACAGTATTTTGATCTCTCCTAACATCGCTCATCACAGAATCTCACTGCTGCCAAACAAATACTGATTATTCTCCAAACAAGCCCACCCAGAAGAGGAAATAAGTGCACAGAAAAATTAGGGTATCTGTCTAGTACCACAAAGAAAGACAGTGGCCAAGCCAATGAAGAAAACCTTGGCATCACTTCATCTTGGAGCTGAGTATTCAGCCTTTTTCCAAAGCTGTCACACAACAAATACAAATACAATGCATGTATTAATCTGACTGCAATTTACCCTTACAGGTGCAGCTATACACAAACTACATCCACCCAGGCAGAGCTTGATGGAACACTCTGCAGCTAAGCTGGGACTCACTGAAGAAGAAACAGATCCCACACAGATAACCACATGCGTTTTCATGTAATGCTTTGACCTGGAAGTAATCATAATTTTCCTCTGCAAAAGCCAGTTGTAGCATCTGAATTTTTTACTGCTGGCCAACACCTTTTCAGCTTTTGTACGTCAAAAAAACATTTGAAAAAATGTAAATCCTTCACTGAGCTACAAACAATGAAAAAAGGTGTTCTGCCTGCCATCAAACCCCGCTGTTAAAATATTAACACAATGTAAATATTGTAATATTGAGGAAGTACACTGTGTCAGTACTTCCTGGCACTGTACAAGAGCTTCACTGTTCACTTCAGTCCCTGCTGTTAGTTTTAAACTCACACAACTTAAACAAGGCATCTGAGCTTCTCCAGTCCTGGTGAGGAATTTCAGAGAGGCAAAATTCTTACTGTAGGTTCTCTCTAGACTGAAAACCAAAGTATTAAAAAGAATCCTTAAACAGAAACAATTATGTAGATGTCAGTACTTCTGAGGCAAAAATGATGCACAGGGTCTTTCAAAAGCCTTGGCATATTACTGCCAAACGTGGAAAGATCACTGAGTATGCACTGTCCTCTCCTTCCTCAGAGAAGAAAAACAAGCTGCAAATGCCCTCTGATGCCAGAAGTCTGAAAGCCCAAGTTATTCCTCATGGCAAAAGTCCCATTCCCCAGATTTGCCAGTTAAGCACATTACTTGCAATTGACTCTCTCAATCGACTGAATAAGCAGCATTTGTGCAATAAAAGGAACGAAGCAGATACCTGCCATTAGCAAGCCAGATGTTGCTATCAGGTCTTAAGAAATGCTGCCTAGCTGCTGTAATTATCTGTTTGCCATGGAAGTGTCACAGAAAAGCAGCACAGCCTCAAAAAAATAGTGAAGAAAGAATATGACCTCACTATAAAAAAATCCCAAGCAAACAACCCCAATTAGACTTATTCTTTGGGCAACTGGGGGAAACTGGAAGAGTTAAGAGCAGGATTTCACTCTGCTGGTTTTGGTTAATACAAGGTAAAATCCTGACTGACAAAGTCAAAGATCTCACCAGTTTCAACTGAAAGCCTTGAAATCTGAAGTTACCACAATTACTCAGATATACCTGACAAACATCATCCTCGTCCCACAGATCTAAATTCAAAACAGAATGAACTGCCAGGGAAAAACAACTGAATGTCTGAAATGCCTAATATTCCAGAGATGTCTAATCCCAGCAAAACTAGATGGCTAGGATTTCAAGAAATGAGTCCTACATATTGTATGACAAAGGAAAGTGTAAGTGCTGCTTCACGCTACCATAGGAAACACAGGAATTCCAAACCGTCACCAGCTTTCCCAAATATGCAGAATAAATGGTTTATTCCAGGTTTAAAGCATCTGCTGCTCCTGAAGCTTTCTCACCTTTCCTACGTGTTTCTGTGCACAAATGTGAACTAAAATAACTTGTACAATGTCCTTGTGTACCAGTCAAAGTATTGGATAAGCCTTAAACCCACAGACCCTTACTCTGGAAGAGCTCTTTCAGTCATGTATCCAGCTGCATCACGAGATTTGTGTATGGTCAAGACTAACATAAATCTCCCACCCTCGATGTTTTTTCACACGTCAGTTTATCTGCTAAGAAAATGCACTATGAACACAACACTTAGCCCCTGTATCTTTCATCTTACTTAAAAGGGGAGAAAACTCTTGAGAACTCAGGGAGCATTCAGTACATATAATAGGCATGAGAGGGCTATAAAAAGTCCAGGAACAGGACATTATTCCAAAACTGAACTACTTACTGTGAGGGGGGTTGTTCGTTTGTTTGTTTTTTAAAGATAAACAGGGTTTTTTTTGCCTGTTTCATGAAATATTATAGCTAAGATCCTTCTCCACTTCCATAAATGGATGTTTTTCTTACTCTCCGTGGGTGGTCTCAGAGTTTTGACAGAGGAACATCACAAGCTAAAAACATAGGATGCTACAGAGATAGCCCACCTGCAGCGGTGGTGGATGTGAAGGGGCAGAGAGAAGGTGATGCAAAGGCCAAAACAGACTGCGGTGGGGGAAATCAAAGGTCAGAAATGTATTCACAGGGCTAACAATGGGGGAGCCCTGGTAAAATGAGCAGCCAAAAAGCACAGATAGATTAGAAAAAGAAGGGACGCAGAAAAAAGACAAAAATGTTAGTGTTCACTTATGCTGTTATTTTTTTTTTTTTTAGAAGAAGATCTGAATAAGAAACTCAGCCATAGTGCTTGGCATTCCTTTTAGTGTAGTTAAAGCATTTTGGAAACCAGTTTCTTTTATATTTCAATTTTATGTTAGCTAATTTAGGAAAAAAATCTTCCTTTAAAAGTTCTGGTATAAACCTAATGTCAGTGCAAACACCTGTCACTACTTTGTTTCTTACCTGTTTTCTACCAGAAAGTCTACCACATATTTCTTCAGACAGTAGAGATGGGCATCCATCAGCCCTGTCCTGATGTGCATTCTGGGGTGCCTGGAAAAGAATAAAAAAGGGAAAATCATGGAGCTTTGCATGGCCACTTACAAGAGCTTGACTTTGCAATGAGGTCAGGAGACAGTGAAAAGCATGCAAAGGTCTGTTCCTTTCCATCTGCTGCTGGATTGACAGAGCAGAACAGTGCAGGCTGCCATTATTGGGCTGTGTCTATAAACTTACACCTGCTGGCCCTGGGCTGATTTGCTGTGAAAGAAAACACCTCCTCCAAGGAGTCATTACTCCTGCTGCATCTTCTCATGTAAGTGGAAATTGCACATTACTGGGCAGGAAGCCAAAGTAATGGGCCCAGAGTGCTAAAAGTCACAGTGGGTAATGTCAGGGTACAATAATTCAAAGCTTCTGGCAAAGTGCCTGCCTTAATATGCAAGGCTGGGCATGTTCTGCTAGCAAACACAACAACACTACTGTATTTTCTCCAACACTTCCTGGAGGGAAATAAAGGAAGGAGATAGGGTCTGCTCACCTTTCCTACACCACACATTACAAATGACTGCCACAGCTCAATTACAAAGGATTTGCTCATCCAGCCCAGTAAGGTGGAAAAGATCAGTAAAACTCCCACTCATCTTAAGGCAAACAGGGAAGTCTTCGCTTTCAGAGCAGTGGCAGGTTAATACTTCAGAACCTCAGGAATCTCCAATAGCTTCAATATTTTAAGAATGAAGTTTAAATCACAGAGACTCACTGATTACTTCTATTGCTTCTCTCTACGCATTCTCTGCTCTTGGATAATGGAAACCCTTTTTGGAATCTGTCTCAAAGCAGCTGGATATTTTATGCCAATATTATTTTCCATTCCACAAACCTGTGGCCTCATTTGAGAGCATTCTGACTGTCTGAACACTCACCACTAGTTCTCAGGACAGGAAAGCCACAAGAATATTTAGCTTCCAGATTAAAAAAGACAAAACACAACAACAGTCGGGGACTACACTGAGCTGTTCAAGACACCTGTAACTGAGCTCCCACTCAGAGGCTATTAAGGAGAGATATTTCAATTCACACCTGAAATTGTCTCTGGTTCCATTTTTCCTCTTTTAACCTCAGCATTTCATAATGAAGTCTGAATGAACGTATCTTAACAGTATATTCTATCCAACTTCGTTTGCTTATTCCAGAACATGCTAAAGTCAGATGTTTGTGATCATGATCACTTTTATTATTTAGTTAGCTCAGCAGAAGGATCACTCACAAATTGGGTATACATATATATATATTTATGTACATTCAGTGTGATAGTATCGGTTTATATATATATTTACATATATAACCAAACACTATCACACCAGATATTTAGTAACACCGAAGCTGTAAGAATATCAGGTGTTCTAGTAAGCCATTTTTCAGTGTATTTCTCAACGAGTGCATTGAACTACCAAAGTATTTAAGTCTTAACATTTTATGACTTAGGTGGCATTTCTCAAGTATGCCATTCAATTCAAGCTAGGCATATTTTGGACTATAACAAAATTCCTCAAGTCCCACTTGCAAAGGAAAGCTCCTACAATAGTAGTACAACTTTGCAGTGAAGTATGTAGTACTAAAAAAATGATATATGCACTTTCAGTAGATTACTTCATTAACAAAACATGAGCTCACCTAGCAATGCTCCAGTACTGATGTTATCAGTGGCCCAGATGTTGCTGTGGAAGTCAGCCCAAATAGCAATGTTCCTTATGCAAAGAGGATAGGGAATCCACTAATTTTAATGAGGTCTTGCAGTTGGAAGTCAGCAGACTCCCTCCTGTTTTGCATCCTGAGAATGGTTTCCACATTTTGGGTATTTATGAGTGGGAGAAATTTCACATCTTCTGTGAGAAGGGCTCCCTTGTATTTATGTAACGAATATAATAGTTTACTGTGGAAATGAACAAATCAATGGAACAAGGCAATAAATACGTAAAAAGATAGAAATGGATGCAATATGACAAGGAGAGGGGAAAACAGGAGGAAAAATCCTCAATTCTTAACTTGAAGATGACAAACAGGACAAAGTTCCTTTAGTGCCAGAATGCCAGTTTTAATCTCTCACTATTCAAGATCTATCCCAACCCTGCCTAAACACCAGGCAGGGGAAGGCTGCAGGGGTTAGGCACCAAGCAAGGGCGTAAAACAGGAACTCCCCAGTGAAAGCTGGTTCTGTTGCTGTGTCTGTGTGCAGTCTCCCCACCTGCAAACTGGAACAAGGCTATTTAGCCACACCACAGGACCCTGAGGATTTGCGGGTTGAAGTTTGTTATCTGCATGCAAGTATTGTACCAAGTTTTTCTGTAGCTAAGCAACTTTGTTATAAAGTTATACACAATCAGTGGAAGTGGACAAACAGTAGCACAGCGCTGTCCTCTAGCTCCTCCATCACACACACAAAAACAACCTCCACAAAAAGCAGCCAGACAACAAGACGTACTGAAATGCCACTCTGAGTTAGCTTTCAATGTAGAATATACTAACAATAACAGAACATCATGCTGGACAAGAGGGAGGTCCCACAATGAAATCCTCTGAAATACAGACCACCTAAGTGATTTGCAACAGAATAGTCCCATAGATTAATATTATAATCACAGCTTCAAAGGTCAAACAGGCAAGTTTGGGCACATGCATAAACAAAGCTGTGATTTCTGTAAACCAGACTCAAGGAGAGAATAGCCACGCTAAACCAGACTGATAAGAGCACTCTATCATAACAAGCCACTAAAGATAATGCTAATTTTCACTGACTAGTACTTAAACCAGTTTATCTTCAGGTAAAAGCAAAGGAGCCAAATAATCTAACAGATAACAGCAAACTCCATCACCATTTCAAATGAGCATCTGGTTACTAATATCGAGAGCCACACTCCCTTCTCATGCCTCTGATCTCCCACTCCATCAGCTAATCTTTACAACATATGAAAAATGAGCCCCCATCGCAAGGAGCAGCCGATACAGAGAGAATCGAATAACAAACAACGCATGGGCTGACACACCTAGACTTGCTGCTCCGGGGGAGATAATACAGAAGGCTGTTAATTATATCATCAAAGCAAGGGAGAAGGTACTAGGAGGGGCTGGCTGCAGATGTTTAAGTGTTAATGAATGCCGGGTTGGGTGGTTCATCAAAAGGAAAAGACTGGATACGTATCTGAGAGGGTCACCCTTGAGATGAAAGTTGTAACAGCCATTGTTGGAGCTCTTTAATGAGCGAGGAATGTCAAATGTGTACCCGCTAAGAATCATACCAATTACTAAATGAACTTTGGTTCAATCTAGCAAATGTAATCAAGCACGAGTCATTAAAATACATGGTAAAGCTCCCATTGGTGCTGCCACTATAGCGTCTATTATTGCCTGTGCTCCCATGCAAGGGAGGGGGCTGCTCCCAGTTGTAAGCTCTGTGTGTTATGTTAAGTGATGGCAGATTTTAGTCCTAATGATGAGGCATGGAGGGCTCCCTGGCAGAAAGTCGACAATGAGGAGCCTACGAGAGATCTGCAGAGAAGTCAGGGAAAGATCGGCAATTAAAAGCACAATTTCAAAGAATGCAATTTAATGTGTAAAATTAGCTTTTATTAGCACATAATTCCACAAAATCCTGACTCGGGATGAGGGTGCATAAAGGTCTGCAACAGTCCTTAGAAAGGTCCGAGCCCGTAATTCCTGACACGCCATTGTGAAATAATAAGCAGTACTAACAGGATTGATGCATGCTTCATACATGGCATTGCTTTGAAAGTGGAGCCCGGGAGCTTTTCTCTCCCTGATAACCTCCCTCAGGATTTCCTCCCTCAGGGAAATCAACCACTGATAGTCAAGCAAACTTCCCTTATTTAAAGGCAAAAACTTGGACAATTGTTTCAACTGTAAACTAATTAAGAGAGATTACCACCAAGAGCTGGAGGTTCCAACCAGCCCTGCACTCCCACTGACAGTGTGATAATGCCAGGCTGGGGTCAAAATCATAAATCTGAAGGGAGCACACACAATGCTTAAAGCCAAAAAGCCTCTCTACTAAGCATGGGATATTGCCACATTAACCTCACCACCTCACAAATAAACTAGCTGAGAAAGAGAAATCCCATGGCCTCTTTCCCTTTAACTTCATACAGCTGTTGACGGAAAATATGAAGGTCTTTAAATAAGCTCAAGGACCTGAGGCTGTCCGTACTCTAATGCTAATCCAAGCAATGACACAATAAAAATCCAATCATACCTGCTATAAACCTGGCTCCTGAACTGATACCTGAATTACATCCACCCTGGGCTCATGGAGTATTAGTTCATCTTCCTCCTCACCCTTCCAAAGTAAATAAATAACAGCACGCTAAGTACAAACTATGCATTCCACACTGGTTTCTTTTCTAATTAATGGCATGTAGCTCACACAGTCCATGCAGCCAAACAGTCTACCACATTCTTCCTATCCCCCATACTATGAACTGTATTCCTGTATGAAGCAGCACTGCCATCCAGTTCAAACACACGGTGCTGACCCCTGCCTGTCTGCACGGACGTGGTGCTCTCGTGTTGATACAAAGCCAGTGTACAGATCAACACGAAGAGAAGTCTCACAGCAAAAGCTGCCAGACCACCTTTAATGTCTCAAGCATTCCTGCTTTTAAAGGAAAAAAAAATAATCCCTAAATCGCATTGCTCATTTACGGGACAGCTCTTGGCTGTAAACTCACTAATAATAAAAGACCACTGTTACACTGGCTCTTCAAAAATCCCAGACACCTTATGACCTTGATTTTTTTTTTTTTTTTTCCAGAGTGCTTCTGGCCAAAAAGATCCCAAAGCACTTAGCCAAATGAATGTCCCCACTGTATCCCGGGCCTCCTTTGCCCACCGGTGAAATGCTGCCACCTCTGGGCTGAACAGCCGCGGTGGTGGCCGCGCTGGCTAGGACCCCCACCCCACACCCAGGGCTGCAGAGGAGCAGAGGTGAATCAGAGGATGCTGCTTCTTGGGTGGAACAACTGTTTCAGCTCTGTCTG